TTCTTTGGCAACTTTGCAGAGGAAGGAACGTGTCTTCAACTGGGCCAATGCTTACCATTAGTTGTAAGACTTCCCCTTTGCTCTGATTGTTGCAATAGCACTGTTGGTTTTGCCTTATAAACCAAATATTGTTGCTTTGAGACTTGGCACAATTTAAAAAAAAATTATATATTTTTCCCCTTTGAGCTTCCTATATCTCCCTTTGCTTAATTTTTTTAAAGGGCAACCACTTCATCAGTTTTGCAGTCACCTCAGCTAGAAGGGTTTCACCCTCAGCTCCCAAATAGCCCAAATAACCTATGCAAGAAAGCTTAGAAAAGAAGATAATAATTTTAAAAGATCTGCTGCACTTTGAACCAGCAACGCTTGACTTCCAGGGCAAGAATTACATTGACTATGTAACTGCAATGCTTGTATTAATGGTGGGTTAAAAAATCCTTAGAAATAAATACAGTAGTAAGAAAGGATTTTTTTTAAAAAAAGCGTTTTATTGTGTGTGCATTATGTACTTTTTAATCTTTTAATTTTGTGCATATAAATTTAATGTAACTTTGTGTGTATGTACAAATATGTGTATTACATACATATATATGCATGCATGTGTGTGACTGTATGTGCATGTATACAAATATATCTGTATATGTGTATGTTTATGCTTGCACGTATGGGTATATGTGTATGTGCATATGTGTATACACATGTGCACACACACATTATATTTCTCTATATATACTCATGCAGTCACGCAATCATGTGACTGTGGGATGCTGCGATGGTAGGAAATCTGAGCCGGTTTCCGAATGCCCTGATCAGGATCACATGACTGCAGGGGCGGTGCGATGGCTGGAACCTCAAGGACTGATCATAACTATCACTTGTTCAGTGCTGTCGCAAGTTTGAATGGTTGCTGAATGAGTGGTTGTTAAATGAGGACCACCTGTATTATTTTCTTATAGTAATGGATACATTAGGTCAGAGTTGCATAATTGTTTTTGGCTATAAACCATACTTTGCTTTTTGGCCTGCTAGGTGTTGCCCTTTGAAAAGTGGGTGAACCCCAGACAAAAATCTATATTGCACATTGAATTCATTAAATATATTTGATATCGTTATTCACCATGTGTGGAATAATTTCCTCCTTCTTTCATACTAAAATCCGTAGCTCACTAGAGAGCCTCAAGCTGGGCACCTCCTTAGGCGCCTTCCCAACCCTCCAAGACCACCCCTTGGCTCTTCGTGGCAAAAACGA